CACTGCACAATCATCTTTGAGATGGGGCCAATAATACAGAATGAATAAAGGATAGTTAGTCTCTTTAACAGATGGTGCTGAGGACACTCAATATCTGCACAGGGAAGAAAGAAAACAAAAATTTATCTTACATCATATCAAACATCAACTCAAAGAGGAGAAAATGTAACAGTGAGAGGTGAACCTGTATAATTCCTGGAAGAGAGTACTGGGGTCCCATTTACCAATCTCTTCCCATCCTACTAAGGTGACAAATATGATCACTACACAGTGTTATATGTATTAAAATATCATGCTATACAACACAAGCAGATGAAGTTGCTATTTTTAATCTAAAATAGAAAAAAAGAAAGAAGAGCATAAGTTTGTGAGCAAAACATACAAAGAAAACACAGAAGAAACACTTTACAAGATTGCTCTAGGTAATGGTCCTTTGGCTATGACAATAAAAGGACAGGGAAGAGAACCATGAACAGAGAAGTATAATTCCATTAAACCAAAAGCTTCTGCACAGCACAGTAAAGCATGAACAGCGAAGAGATTCAACTGTTGGAATGAGAGAAATGACTGACACATCACCTGAGAAGAGTATAAAATCTGAAACACAAAATATCCCTATGAAAAACCATTAAGTGAGCTGGGTACAGTGGGACATACCTTGAATATCAGTGATTTGAGAAGCTGACGTGGGAGGAACACAAGTTAAAAACCAGCCTCATCACGTTAGCCAGGCCCTAAGCAACTGAGTGAGACCCTGACTCTAAATTAAAATAAATAAATAAATAAATAAAACTCTGGGGAAGTGACTCAGTAATTAAGTGCTGTGGGTTCAATCTCTAGTTGCAATATATAAATATAAACAGAGAGTAGCATGCTGTTTGCAAAGAAATGTGGTTAGGGTAAAATGTGGTGCTGCTCTTCGATGGATATAAAATTTTAATTGCATAAGATAAACAACTTCTAGATATTTGCAGCATAATTCTGTAGTTACACTTTACAATAGTATAATGCTCACTTACATGTTTTCAGAGTACATATATCCTACTTAGTGTTCTTACTATTGTGCAAGGGAGGAAGGGAGGATACAAGGGACTGAGGGAGGGAAAGATGATGAAGAGAGTGTCGAAGCCAGAAGGCAGGGAAAGGAGGACTAGCCCCATGATGCTCTTCCTACACAGTCAGGATTCCTGCTCAAAGTGGACCTGTTCTTGATTGAATATTCGCTGTTGCTATCATAATTTTTATTGATTTTATCTTACTACTTATTTTTCAAAAGTAAATTCCAAGAAGGCAATGGACCACAGGTATAAACACAGCACATAAATGTAACCTGCAGGTATAGTGCTTTTGGACACCTCATAAACATTGAGTTTTCATTCCCATTATCACAAATTCCAGTGGGCCACGGAAATATGGGAGCTAAGAGAGAGTTGGGTACAAAGTGACCATGTCCTATCCACAAGTATAAAAAAAAGGGAGCATGATGAAACCCAGGTAGGACACACATTAATGTCGAACCAGAATTAGATTCAAATATAGAAAGAAGACAGCTTTGTCACTCAAGGTATTTCACTGTGTTAACCCAACTTTCCAGCTGAGGATGTGAAGGGATAGGGAAAGCAGGGTAATCCACAGTCACTTTTCTCCCAGCTCTTTCAAACTCATTAACAAACCAGCTGGAGAAATTGTTCACAGTTATCAAGGTGTAATAAATGCAATTGCACTGGTTCTGTGTAACATATTCACTGCTTTGGTATTAATGAACACAACATGGATGTGTAAGCTCTCCAATGTGACTTTCTCATAAGTTTGCATTTAGAATTGATATGGCATACAAAAAGATGAATGTTAGAAGTCTTGCTAATAATTTAAAATTCTGTAGTAAGAAGGACAATTAAAAGACAAATTGTACAATGACATGTGAAGAGATCACAGAAGAAAGAAATAGATTTCTGTGGCATGATGTCAATGGTAGAGGTCACCTGCTTTTAGACAGGGAGTCTAAGTTTTCATTTTGCATTGGTCCTGACAAATTACACAAGTTGCCCTAAAAATACCAGTAAAAAGGTGTATATTTCCCTGGAGAAAGTGGTGATTCTAGCATCATGAAAGATAAATTTTTTAAAAAAATGAGCCTTAACATATGAAGGAGGAAGAGAATGAAGAGTAGGAGGAGAGTCTCTCAAGGTTTCCCACATGTGAATTCCTGATAAATGACATAAGAACTAAAGTAAAAATCCTGAAAGAGTGAAAGCTGGAAAATATGAGCAATAAAATAAAAAAAAAACTTTAATATTAAATTATAAGTGAAAGCAACAAATAAATGTATATTTACTGAGAAATATTGACTACATTGATAAAAATGATGGGAAAAAATCTTTCATATACAAGAGTTCAAAACAATACAGGAGAATAGCATCCCATCCTGCATGTGGAGCTTAGTATCTTTGTCATTTTATGGGTGGGCAGATTCAGTGACTTGATTGCAACAAATAGTGAAAGAATAAGGAAAATATTACAGTCCCAAAGGATGAACTTGGCACAAACTACCTTGACAGTGGATGGACTGTAGCACTTCAAATATTTCAGTGACCATCAGATAACCTCATCATGCTGTGACAACAAGGCACTTCAAATCAAAGAAATCATACGATTTCTTCCAAAATTATTTAATCCGTTATCTTTATAGGTGACTAACAATGACCATTTTCACAAGCAGGAAACAAACCATAAGGATACTCTCTTCCTCAGTGTTGAGTGCCTACCTTTCAGTGATCAAATAGAATAATTAGTTTTAATTTGTTTTTAATTAACAAATATTTACTGCACATGTTAATGGAGTTGAGCATAATATTTCCAAATGCATGGTACACAGTGATCATATCTAATTATCTATCTTCTACTTTCATTGATTGCCCTGCCCCAGCACCCTTCCTACTCTCCAGAAATTACTATTGGGCTTCCATATTACTTCTAAAAAATCAACTCTAAGGTGTAGGTGATAAACATGGTAATAGAAAAAAGATTTCTGCAGTCACAAACAAACATTTGCAGGAATGAACTCTCCCCACATCTCTGAGAACATAAATGTTAACACCTGGTTGAGTCTCCCTTTATCTCGTTGTAAACAACCAGAAAAATGACCTCCAGCTATTGCCTTCACTATGCTGACCTTATTTTTTCCATAAATCTTCAATTTGGCTTCAATTCCCACCACCTGAGGACAGAGGTTCCACTGAGATTATCAGAAACCCCTATGGCACCAAAACTCAAAGTCCCTCCTTTGTCACCCTGTGGCTCACTTTTTAGTGTTTTTTTAGAACAAGAGGTTCTGCCTTTCTTTTTAAAATCACCTCTTCCAGAAATTCATGTCATTACATTTTCCTGGTTTTCTATCTCCTTAACTGAATGCCCACACTCTGTCTTCTTCATATTATTTCCTTCTCCGTGGCTAAATATAGGTGTGTTCCCAGCTCAGAGAAATGCTCCCTGTACTTATATAACTTCACCCAAACCTGAGTCATGCTCAGTCTCATTGCAGTATTTTTCACATTCCCCTGCCTTCCAAATATTCATTTTCTTCCTAGTCCTCTCCTCTCACCTTATGTGGATATCAAGGAGAAATCACAAACATCAACACAAAAGCCTTCTTCAAGACTAACACACTTTTTTCCTGCCTCATGTGGTTTTTCTGCTCCATACAGGAATGCTTTTGCCAAAAAGCTCTGAATATTCACTTAGGCCTACAGATGCCCAATGAACAACTACAAGTGAGATAACACTTGGCATCTCTGAGATATATTTATTCTATTTAATGGCTTTTAATAATCACAGCATAGAAAATAGAAAGAAATACCTGCAATATTAGTAAGGACTCCTGAAACATTCCAGGCACAACAGGTGTAGAAAGAGGCCATGATTGAATTGAAATCCTTATCCCACTTCTGAAAAAATTTTGAAAAAAAAAATGTGTGTGTGTGTGTGTGTATATATATATATATATATATATATATACACCTTCACCCCATACACAGATTGCAGAATCACATCAGTTACACATCCATTGATTTACATATTGTCATACTAGTGTCTGTTGTGCTCCGCTGCCTTTCCCATCATCCACCCTCCCCCCTCCCCACCTCTCCCCTCCCCTCCCCTCCTCTCTCTCTACCTCCTCCACTGTATAACCCTGAGGGTCTCCTTCCATTACCATGCAATTTCCCTTCTCTCTCCCTTTCCCTGCCACCTCTCATCCCTGTTAAATGTTAATCTTCTTCTCCTGCTCTTCGTCACTACTCTGTTCTTAGTTACTCTCCTTATATCAAAGAAGACAATTGGCATTTGTTTTTTAGGGATTGGCTAGCTTCACTTAGCATAATCTGCTCTAATGCCATCCATTTCCCTGTAAATTCTATGATTTTGTCATTTTTTAATGCAGAGTAATACTCCATTGTGTATAAATGCCACATTTTTTTTATCCATTCGTCTATTGAAGGGCATCTAGGTTGGTTCCACAGTCTTGCTATTGTGAACTGTGCTGCTATGAACATCGATGTAGCAGTGTCCCTGTAGCATGCTCTTTTTAGGTCTTTAGGGAATAGACCAAGAAGGGGAATAGCTGGGTCAATATATATATATATATATATATATATATATATATATATATATATATATATATATATATATATATATTCTCACACACACATACACACACATATACACTGGGTAGTTAGTGTAATACTCCCTTTCATAGCTGGATGATTAATTTCATACATACAATTAATGAAGATTTGTACAAAAAAACATAAAAAGCTGCTTATAAAGCAAGTACTGAAGAGTTTTCTAAAGTATTTTATAACCAAGCCAGCCAATAAGTAGGCAGATACTCTGGTGGAAGATAGAAAAAATGTCAAAAGTACAGTTCTGATACCATCTAGTGTCTAATTAGGACTTAGCACTTCTAACAATGGGAAAGTACCCACATTAAGCAGAGCAGTAAGTACAAGTAGGGATGAGACAGGAATTCTTGAAACCTAAAAGAGGGGTGAGGAGATGCAACTGGAGAAGCAAGCAAGGAAGGGATCTTTAAGGAGACCTTTATCTCACAGCTAGGAAAGGATTGGGGCAGCTAAATGATATGGAGAAGGGTGTGTTTTAGAATAATTGAGAAGGTAAAACATTGCCATGGATGGTAACATTAGATCAGATGCCTAAAGGGGGTCAGTACTTCATGTCTCTTTAGTGCCTGAATTCTTGGGTCAGTCCAGGGGAATGGTAGCCCCCACGAAAATAAGAGCAGAGATTCCTTGCTGTTTTGTTCATGTCTGTGTCCTCTCTGCCTAGGACAGAGCCTGGTACTATAGTTTTTTTTTTTTTTTTTTTTTTTATGCAAGGAGTTATGTTTCCATATATAAAATTAATGAAGGCTATGGTTTTGCCTAGAGGTAGAGTGTTCTTCTATTATGCATGAGGCATTGGGTTCAAGCCTCACCATAACATAAAAATAAAATAAATGTATTGTGTCTACCTACAACTAAAAAATGAATGTTTTAAAAAAATACTAAATGATAATACTGTCAAAATAGATCCCCTGCCCCATCCATTGCAAATTGCCTTTTAGAGAATCATGAAGCTGGAACTTGGCCTTACACCAGCCTGAGAGTCAGATGTCACTTTGTGTCCCACTTTACAGACTTAGGGAGTGTCCCAAAGTAGCACCTGGAAAGAGCCAAGGCCTCTTCCCTCATCAATGCTTTTTTTATTGCCCAGGTGCTATGAAACCCCTGCCTGTGAGTGAGTAAGTGAAGGGGACTGTGCGATCCAGATCAGACTCCAGCAAGTGATGGCTGCATCACAGGCTTACCCTCTCTGGACTTCAGGGTCTCAATATGTAAACAGCAGGCACCAAGAGAAGTCTCTGTGAACACACAGGAAAAAAAAAATTATTGTTCCCCAAAAACAAAGTGTCTCAGGCGATATCCCAAGGACCCCTTCAAGAAACCCCATGGGACCCAACCAACCTGAAAATATAGAAAGTGCACAGCATCCAATGAGTGGGAGGAAGAAAGAAAGGCTGTGCCATGGCATCTTCAGCCTCCCTCCATTGCCTCAGTGGGTAAGAGGGGAAACTGAGGCCCCCAATGGAGCAGACATTGAGGTCACATTACTATCTCAGAGGCCAAAGACCCTGCTTCCCCTCTGGGTCCACAGTGAATCCTGACAGAATTACCGGATGGATGCCTCTCCTGACTCCATTTGCCTCCTGTGGATGCACCCACCATGCCCTCTGCTCCTGCATTACTGTGCCTCCTGGTTCCTAGGCTGTGCTCACCTAAGGGGTCCTGGGTGGGGTGCTGCCTCCCACGTGCTTCCCCTGTCTTCTCCCCGCCCACTGTTCTTAGGAGTTGGGCTCCATTCACTCAGCCTGACTCTGCCTCACCAGCTCTGCCCACAAGGTCCTCTCCACTTTTTTCATAGGCGCCACCCAGCATCTGGCCTCTTACCTGCATTGTTCTGAGAGCCACGCCCACTCCACCAATTTGATCCTCTGCATTCTGTCCACATGACTCATCCTCCGATGACATATTTAACACTCTGGGATTGCAGGTTTTTCCCTCTAGCCCTGGAACCTTTGCAGTCTGGCTTGGCCCAATTCCACCACCATCCACTAGCATACAAAATGGCTCTGCTCTTCTTCATTAGCCATGGTTTTCCATCAAGTTCACTCCTACACCAGCCTCACTGTCACCTGGCCTCTCCACTGCTCCTTGAAAACTCCATCTGAAATGAATGAAAGAGATCTTGCTGAGATATCCATGGTTGTGACACCACTGAGTCTAAGGGACAATTACCTTTGGGCTCTGGTCACATTTGAACCCCACATCTTCAATGGTTCACCTTGAACCACTCTGCTAACCACAGAGTATCTCCATTTACAGAATTCCAACTGATGATAATACTTTTTTGCATAAATGTGAGCATGTTTTCAGCACTGTCTTTGTATTATGGATGCAGAAGAGGCACTGTACAGCAACTAGCAATGTCCCTGTCCTATTTGTGAAATAGCCCAGCCAGATTTAAAAAGCATGTTTTCAAAGACATGGCCTTCTGCTTTTTTTTTTAAGCTCTGTGGCCTTCAGCACCTTCTCTCCCCCTTTCAGCACAGGATGGGCACAGCTATTTGGCAAACAAGAGTCATCTGTGATCTCTTCTCCAGCCAGCCTGGGGCATCTCAGAATGAGAAAGCATAGGTATCTGGTCATGGCCATCTTTCTCAAGGTTCAGTCTCAGAAGAGAAAGCCTCTTTATAATGACTTCTGTATAACTATGGTTTATTCTGACAACCTGACCCAATGCTGTAGAGACAGGGAAGCAGTTGGGGACTTGGGCTTCAAGCTGCAGAAACTGAACTAGGTGATTTATTTAAAAAAAATGACACTGGGGAGGTCAAGGAATCTGATAGCAAAGTTTTTTTTTTTTTTAAAGAGAGAGTGGGGGAGGGAGAGAGAGAGAGAGAGAGAGAGAGAGAGAGAGAGAGAGAGAGAGAATTTTTTTAATATTTATTTTTTAGTTCTTGGCGGACACAACATCTTTGTTTGTATGTGGTGCTGAGGATTGAACCCGGGCCGCACGCATGCCAGGCGAGCGCGCTACCGCTTGAGCCACATCCCCAGCCCTGATAGCAAAGTTTAATAAAACCAGGAGCTGGGTTTTGCCAGGTGATTTCAGTGGCCAAAACCCATTTATAGTTCTCACTGAACCCCATTGCTATATGAGCACACTGAAAGCCTTCCTGCTGTTGCTTTGTTGCTGCAAAACAACAAAGAGAAGGGGTCCAGTAGGCTGGGTATAGGTATTGGCTGGGAGTACAAATTCTTCACATTCAACTAGGTATTAAAGGATAAATTGAAGTATGCTAAAGAGCAAAGGAAAGGACATTCTAGGTAAGAACACCATTTGTGATCTCACAAAGAAATTTGTGTCCTCTCAGAATCACACAACCACACTATGCCAGGTGCTTTTCTCATCATGTCATTCAATATCTCCAAACCTTTCAAAAATAGTGCCATACTTTGGGAAACTTATTTCATTGTTCCACAAAAATGCTAAAGGCTTCTATAAAGAATTCAAAATATACAGCAGAATACTGCAAAACTGGGCAAGGGGTGGAAATCTTGCCAAAACCCAGTGCCCCAAACACCAGAATTAACATTAGGCAGTATCATTTCCCAGGACTTTTTAGTCACATAGATTGGAGGGTGAATAAAAAAAACAAGGATGGGTAGAAAGAAAGAAAATAATTTGATTAAAATGAGGTTAAATGTGGGCTGGGTTTGTGGCTCAGTGGGAGAGTGCTTGCCTAGTGCACACGAGGTGCTGGGTTATATCAACACCACATAAAAACAAAACAAAAAAAAATAATGGTTAAAATTATAAAAAGTTATTAAATATGAAAAAACAGCATTTTCACTTGAATTTATGGAAAGAAAAAAACAAAATCAGTAAAAGAGAAGTAGCTGCTAACATGACATATTTATTTTGTGATAAAAATGCTTGTTTGATATAAGAATACCCCAATATTGTGATTAACAATGTGTCTCAAAAGCTAAAAAATACCATTAAAAAATCTGAGGATGAGGCTCAGTGGTTATGTTCCCCTAGTTTCAAACACTTGTACAAAAAAAAAAAAAGAAAAGAAAAGAAATAAAAAAGGAAAAAAATGTGGTTCCTTTTTCTTATGTTACATATTACAATTTTAGCATTCATTTTTACCTGTTGTGGAGGCTGTGAAACATCAGTCTCTCACACATACGTCTTTGCCCACATCTGACATTTTGCTCTCAGCCTATTGTTTTATGTCAAGGTCTATACTTTACCTGCCACCTCACTTTAATTGGAAATCTTTTAAAATCCTAGGTTTCTCTGGAGGCAGGGTTCATCTTCAGTCCTTGGACCCAGGCTTCTTCCTTCTGTGTTCATTTAGATTCAAGTCTTTTTTGGAGACGACCCACTTCAAAATTGGGAACAGTATGGCTTGCTTAAAATCACTTTCCCAATGTCCCATCAGTGCAGGAATTGAGATTGGGACCAGTGTTAGTCTGTTGTGGAACAGTTCTCAGGAGAGCCATGGGAGTCCTGGGATTTTGGACTTGAGTGTTGGCAACAAGAGGAAATATACTCACTCTCTGTGAACATTCTGGGACAGATGAGGGATCCTGGAGATGACTCAGGACTAACTCTGTCCCAAGGGCTCAGATTAGGTACTGTAGAGGTTTTGTGTTGTACTTCCACTCCATCCCCAGAGACCTGAAAAAGAATTGGTGACAAAGATGGCTGGTTCTTTTGACCTGCATTGTTCCTGAACCTGAGGACAATGAACAGAAAGTAGAACAAGGAGAAAAATCAATGCATCTGTCTTTCCACTGCTAGAAAAATGTACCCATCAAATACTGAAAAAGATTTCCTTTTACTTGAAAATCAAAAAGCCCAGTGGTTGGCAGTCTGGGCTGCTATGGCTATCCAGCTATGCCATCATGCCTCAGAACCCTTTCTGTTTTTCATTCTGCAGTCCATTCAATACAGCAATCAGGGGAAAGGGAAGAAGGAAAAAAACAAAGATCTAAGAGGCCCAGTGGCTTCCACTGATATCTCATTGGCCAGCACAGAATCATAGAGACCCCTACCTGCAAATAATATTGGGGAATACAGTTTGTTTTTCATTTTTAGTTTGAGTTTGGTTCTGTTTTTTGGTTGTGGGAACTGAATCTAGGATTTCTTAAGCACTGAACGACCATCCCCAACCCTTTTTATAGTTTATAGACAGTGTCTATCTAAGATTTTTAGGGCTTCACTACATTGCTGAAGCTGACATTAGACTTTTGAGTCTCCTGCCTCAGCCTCTATAGTCACTGGGATTATAGGCATGTGCCACCAGGCCTGCCTGGCTTTTTTTTTTACATGCTGGAGTTGGATCCTGTAGGAGGCCATTCTTACATGTGATTTGAGTTACCTCCCTGGCTGGGTGAGAGGGGCTTAAACACAGCCTGTGTTAAAAAGCCTTCCCCACCCTTTCCCAGGTCCGAGGGCTTGTCCATGCAGAGGTGTGCCTGGCCACTGACCTGAAGACCCAATTGCCAGCCCTGACCTTGAGATGCTGACCCCCTTATCCTTCATTGGCTGGTATTTTCCCTTGAATTTTTTTGTTGCCCAATAAAAGCTCACTCCCTGGCATGCTCTCCCTCTCTCGCTAGTCTCTTCTGTAAACCTCAACAACAGATTAGGTGGCTGGAGGCGGGAGCTAGGAGAAGCCATCTCAGAGCTGCATTAAAGGTATGAGAGTCTGTCTCTTTAATTTAAAACTCTCTAGCAATTTCTTATGCACTGAATCTTCTTTCATGAAGCTCACGCCGGTCGTGTGGCAGAGGAACCCAGAGCCAGGCACATGGGAAACACTCGTTTTACTACTGAACTGTACTTTCAGCCCTAAACCTGTCATTTTGAAGTATTAGAAACCCATTTTATAAAATATAACGTCCCAGTGGAATGAATTAGGGATACCTGCACCTGGACCTTAACAAACAGTTGTGCTCGGGTGGCTTAGTGTAGGCCCAGTGCATAGTCACACAGTGGCGTGAAAGGATGGGCATCAAGTGAGGAATGGGTCCTCATGGGCTGTTAAAGGAAAACTGCTGGATAGGTGGCCAGGCTGAGATATTGTTCTTTCACATGTGTCAGGGTGGGCATCCCAGGTGGAGAAGGGGTACAGGGTGAGTGCATTTGGGTGATTACCCACTGAGATACACCTCCAGTTTTTTAAAATATTTTTTCTTTGTTGATAGATTTTTATTTTGTTTATTTATATGTGGTTCTGAGAATCAAACCCAGTGCCTCACACATGCCATGCAATTCAATTGTATTACCACTGAACCACAGGCCCACTCATCCCCAGCACTTTTTATTTATTTATTTTATTTGGCCCTTCTGAGATTGAACTCTTGGATACTCCACCACTGAGCAACATCACCAGCCTCATTTTGTATTTTATTTAGAGTCTCACTAATTTTCTTAGTTCATCACCATTGTTGAGGCTGACTATGAACTCATAATCCTTCTGCCTCAGCCTTCTGAGCCACTGGGATTACAGGTGTGTGCCACTGAGTCTGGGTCCTCTTTTCTTTCTTGTTTTTTTTTATTATTTTGATACAGGATTAAATTGTTTCTCAGGACCTCACCAAGTTAATGAGGCTGGCTTTGAACTCTCAATACTCCTGCCTCAGCCTCCACATTCACTGGAATGACAGGCCTGTGTTACTGAGCCAACTCTAATACAAATTTTAAAGTTATTTATTCCATGGAAATATAGATCTATTTAAATTCACAATACAAAAACTTACATATAATATATACACTTATTATAAATAAATTTATAAGAATTAGCATATGCCATTTTTATAAAAATAAATGTCACAAAACTTACTCTCATTGACCAAATGTGACCCATAAAATCTTGAAAACATATGTATATTTGATTTATATATTTTTATTCTTTTTCCAAATTTATTATTAGAGACAAGTTCAAAACACTGAATGAGTGAATGCAGAGAATTATGCCAATTTCCCAAATTATTTATTGAGGATAATATTTTATTTTTCCTAGTAATGACATTTATTTTCCCACAAATACTGCATGTGGCATTCATGTGTTGAAGCTGAAAAGTTGATTACACAGAAACTGAAAACAGAAATGCTAACCAGATTTATGATAAGAATGAGAAAGAGACTGATTTTGTGTAAGAAGTGTCAAAAAAAGTTAAGACCAGAAAGTAAGTCTTAGATTTTAAAGCACAATAAGGTGATTATGTTCTATAATAACTTCTTAAACAAAACAAAATAGCAAGAAATTTGCAGGTTTTAAACAAAGAATAATTTTAATGAGATGAAAATTACACTGATCTGATAATTACACACTATATACACATGTTGAGTTACAATACTGGGTCTCATATCCAAGTACAAATAGTAGATTCCAGTTAAAAATTAAAATAAACAGAAATCAACACTTTGATGTTTTAACCAAATATCTACATTACCTCAGATTTTAAAATGATATCCTATGTTCATAAACGTTTCACTATTTTGGTTTCTCTTATTGTTATATCTTTTATATCTAAAAGGTCTAAAGAGTTATGGAACAATTTAGCCTCATCCACATGGTTTTCTGATAACTGCTATTTTTTTTCAAACCTTGTTTACACTTTATTTTATTATTTTATTTTTTATGTGGTGTTGAGGATTGAACACAGTTTCTCACATGTGCTAGGCAAAAACTATACCACTGAGCCACAATCTTAGCCCTGATGACTGGTGTTTTTAAATATGTGGCTTGAAACAATTTAAAACACATACCTACTATTTCAGACACTTGACTTAAAACACAACATGCCTTTTATAGAAAATATTCCATCAGATTAACATCAAATTTTCTGTATCAATTTTATGTATGGTTTCTTTACTGAAGAAACACATTCTGCTTCCTTCAAGCAGATGAATATTGGGATTTTATGGAAGTTTATCTTTTACGCTTGGGTCAAATTCTTGATCTTTAATTAAAAACCTTACAATGGAATGACTTTGAGTCTATCTAAACTGTGACTTGAATTACCACCTTTATTCCAGATGACTGAGGAGAAGACAATAATAAAATATTTCTACTGATATTCAATAGCTGGAATTTGGTCACTTAAGATATTTTTTCTGGTCATGATAATAACATATATGCAAGGTGGATAGCTACATTGGGGATTCAAAGACAGGCCTAAAATACTGCCAACGAGCTTTCTACACATATTGCTAGAATATTTTAACTTTATGAAAACAATTTGAAGCAAAAACATATGTAGCCATTATTAAAATAAAAGATTTAAATCTATTAAATCACATATATCAGGAACTGCATAATTAAAACAATGGCCAGAATTTCTACTGAGGACTTTTAATTTCAGAAACACATCCATATGTGTTCTTCTTTCATACACAATACCTCTAGAATATATGTAATAAGACTCTGTATATGTCATACAAGATGATCAGATTTAGCATCAAGGTAACATTTTAACTCAATAAAAAATTATAAATACAAATAAAAATATCACCTTAGAGGGCATGCTTCTCTGTGTCATCTTAGATGATATATTAAAGGCATTAGGTCGGGTAGTAAATGGTCAAAAGACAGCACTAAAAAATACATTGGTGTGCACTCCTACTACATTGAGATTCATTTTTTCAGATGGTTGCAATTCTTTACTTTTGTGCAATCCTTCCATTTCAATTCACTGAAAATTGTAGAGTTTTCAATATGTTCCTACTGCTTAATCAAGAAGAGAAAAATGAAATCAAAGTAACATACTACCCCAGAAAACCTCAACATGAGATTATATCAAGAACTATTTTGATAATATATGGTAATTCTGAATCTATAAGAAAGCTGTGTATAGTGGGAACACAGTTGCCATGATATAATTCAGACATAATTTGGTAATAATATTGGAATGTCACCTGGAGGATATTAGAGGGTGATAACTGAAGTGAGAAAAATATGTGTTGGGTGAATCCACATCTATCCCTAATAATAGGATAGGTTTTACTCAATCCAGAAAACTGTGTTCTGTATGGTTCACTGAGGATATTTTGTTCTAACAACGTTTGCTTCTTTAATTTATATCCTCTAAAATGAGTCATTTTTTAATAGGGAAAAATGATTAATTTTAGTTTTCCATTTGTTCTAACTTTAATGAGTTCTAGTGATACAACTTAAATATGGAATGTCATCTAGAGATTTTAAAAATTACTTATTTGTATACATATTATAAAAGAAGACATGAGTTTTACCTTGATATTTTATAAACTTTATTTTATTTTTATGTGGTGCTGAGGATAAAACTCAGGACCTCACACATGCTAGGCAAGTGCTCCACCCCTGAGCCATATCCCCATCTGTAATTTAGCATTTTTTTATTTATAAACTTGCTTTTGTAATATTATAAAATAAAATAGAACTACTATTGATATGAATTCTATACTTTGAGTAATTATAAGTTTTTTAAATTTTAGAAGGAAATGATATTCTATGTTAAAAAATTCATTTCATAGAGGGCAATATCACAATGCCATAAACTACTTATATTTATCATAAAGTCTTTGGATCCAATTTAACTCAAAAGATTAAAAATGTCCACACCCTGTACTCTTTAAGTTAGGAAATGACAAATGAGAGGATCATGATAAAAGGGTTTGGAAGCACACG